TTTTGCTTGCTTGCTTGTTCGCTTGTTTGCTTGTTTGCTTGCTTGCTTGCGTGGTTGCTTGCTTGCTTGCTTGTTTGCTTGCTTGCTTGTTTGCTTGCTTGCTTGTTTGCTTGTTTGCTTGCTTGTTTGCTTGTTTGCTTGCTTGCTTGTTTGCTTGCTTGCTTGCTTGTTTGCTTGCTTGCTTGCTTGTTTTGCTTGCTTGCTTGTTCGCTTGTTTGCTTGCTTGTTTGCTTACTTGCTTGCTTGTTTGCTTGCTTGCTTGCTTGTTTGCTTGCTTGCTTGCTTGTTTGCTTGCTTGTTTGCTTGCTTGCTTGCTTGTTTGCTTGCTTGCTTGTTTGCTTGTTTGCTTGCTTGTTTGTTTGCTTGCTTGCTTACTTGTTTGCTTGCTTGCTTGTTTGCTTGTTTTCTTGTTTGTTTGCTTGTTTGCTTGCTTGCTTGCTTGGTTGCTTGCTTGTTTGCTTGCTTGCTTGTTTGCTTTCTTGCTTGTTTGTTTGCTTGCTTGCTTGTTTGTTTGTTTGCTTGCTTGTTTGCTTGCTTGCTTGCTTGTTTGCTTGCTTGTTTGCTTGCTTTTTTGCTTGTTTGCTTGCTTGCTTGTTTGTTTGCTTGCTTGTTTGCTTGCTTTTTTTCTTGCGTGTTTTCTTTCTTGTTTGTGTTGCTTGCTTGTTTGTGTTGCTTGCTTGTTTGCTTGTTTGCTTGCTTGCTTGTTTGCTTGCTTGCTTGTTTGCTTGCTTGCTTTTTTTGCTTGCTTGCTTGTTTGCTTGCTTGCTGATTTGCTTCTTGTTTCCTTGCTTGCTTGTTTGTTTGTTTGCTTGCTTGCTTTCTTGCTTGCTTGCTGGCTTGCTTGCTTGCTTGCTTGTTTGCTGCTTGCTTGTTTGCTTGTTTGCTTGCTTGCTTGTTGCTGAGTTCACGTGATTTGGCCAGATATGATCTGCAGATGGTTTTTTTGAAAGCTGGATTTGCAGCCTCAAGTTTAAGCCAGAGGTTGTTTTTTTCAGGACTGTCACAGTAGAAGCGGCTGGATGTGCTGAGAAATGCAGGTAGTTGCAAAAGAGCTTTGAAGCCTTTGCTTTCTTGTAGAAAGCTTCTGCGTTTCCAATTGGAATGCTGCAATCCCCAAAATACCGGCATTTGAGAGCCGGTAGAATACATCAGGCTCATAGAACTCCAGAGAGCCCACCGATTTGATGGACCATTTGGGTGATCGAACATTTTACCATTTTGAGTCCTTGGAAAACAGTTTCCTAACGAAACATAGGGTGGAGGCCATGGCTACTCGTAGTAGGTTGGAGGCCTTTGCTACTATTGGCAGAGGGAAGCTGTTGATACCTGCCACCAAGGCGGACGGCACCGCCACTCCTGAGACACCCGGCGCTGTGCAGGCGGCGGCCACGGGCGGGCTTGGTGATGTGTTGGGTGCATAGATTGGTTGGTTAATCAATAGAGGCGACATCTCCAAGTTTACAACCAATTGGTATATGGTATCAAATCGACCATTGTATTTTTCCTAGAAGGACATCACTGGTTGGGTGTGAGAGCCATACTGAAAATCGCGAAGTGAGGAAGCACAGGGCTTGGTCCTTGCGCAAAGGGGGGGGCGGCCAGGCTCCCGTGTTGCACATGGCCTGTGCGATGTGCTCCTTGGGCTTTGGTCAGGCAAGTTTTTTGAAGAGCAAGCTGCCTGCCCCCCCCGTGAGTCTTAGTCTTTCCATCCACTGATTTGGAGACTTCTGATCAACATATGCCGGTGGATAGAGCTTTAGTGACTGCTTTCAAAGCTGAGGCATGTTCGCATCGCTTCTGTGTTTGATGACCATTGTCAGCATTGGTCTTCTTGTCGGGAGTCTTGGTTACTGTAGATAAATGTGAATGCTGCGGGACATGTGGTTTGGGATTGCAACAAGGCTATGCAGGCTGAAGCAAGCAAAACAGTCAGCTTTGTTTCAAGTCCTGATTGGCACAGCTCCGACCAGGTGTACCTTGCCTACGAGTACACCAAGCATAGCACTGACAATTGTGATGTGCCGTTGCAGCTCTGGGTGCAGGCAGCGGCGCTTTTCGGTCCCAGGTTTCAGCCGAATCTCGCACCGGCGCTCCAGGTGGTTTCGCTCACTGCGCTCTTCAATCTAGCCTGCAACCAGCAGGACCGGCAACTTGGTGGTGGCAAGTGAGTTGCCGTACTACTGTTGTAGACCTTAAGATCTCGGACGAGTCATTCCATCATTCCTTCTGAAACATCCAGCTTGGAGTTCATCATGGGGTCATTTCATCTCATTCCTTCCATTGATCTCGCCAAGCATCACCATTGCCTTGGGATGCTTTCCCAGTCATAGCACCTTCGCTCTACCGAAGGAAGAAGAACGAGATGCAGTAGTTGAAGCCTTTTTTCCTCATGATCGCATGCTGCCTGATGTGCTCCTCACCTCGCACTCTCCCAAGGTATGGCACCTTAGGTGCCAGGACAGGGTGACGGGAGCGAATTCTTTTGAAAAATCTTCCAAGCTCAGTTACTCAGACTGATAACGTATTGGGACAGATGTGCAGTTGTTCTGCTTCTTACTTGATCAAGGGGAGCTAGTAGGAGTAGTTTGTAATTCTAGAAGCGTCCTTGAAGAGGAACATATGGATATTTTTGGCTTGACTTGAGCTATGCAAATCACCAGCCTTGAAAGCTTTGGTTTGACCGGGATGCTGGCCGTGCTGTTTTTTTTGTCCAACTGCAGGATTTTTTGTGGCTGGAGCTTTGACCCAGAGAATCCCGAACGCATGCCCATGAGGCCGGGAGACAGCTAATGCCGCTAATGGCTTGTATGCTTGTATCTGGTGTATCTTTGGTTTGAGCAGGAACAGAAATTTGTGTGAATTGACTATTTCCGGGCAAAGTGACACATTGCCGAGCAAGAAGTTTTTCTAGCGCCCCCCATTTGCCCTGAAGTAGCAGTAGTTGTGTTACGCGCAACACTTGTATGCAGGGTACAAGCCTACAACTTGCTGGTGCCCATCTTTACCGCTGTGTGGAATATTTGGCTGCAAATTATCCTGCTGTTGCACTGGCAAATTACTGAAACTGGCTGAGTGCGGCCAGTTTCAGTCAGCTTTCACTGACCCGAAAGCTAAGGAATTGCGTTGGGCTATACTGGGCCGCGAACTTGTTTGAGGGAGTTTCGGAGGTGTGGAAGAAAAGGGCACCTCTTCGGGTCTGGACGATGTTCATGGCAAATACTGGTTCATCTAGTCCAACTTTAAAGAGTTGACTTCTGAGGTCAGCCAGGCGAAGGAGCCTGGAAAGGACGCCCACAAAGGCGCAGCGTGGACGCATCGAGCGGGCGTTTTTGTTGCGGGCGTGGACTTTGTTGCGACCTCCGAGCACTCGGAGATTCGCAGGAGCCACAGCCACAAACGTGTGGCATCTAATGTGATGTCGCGGCTTGCTGTGTGTGTGCAGGTGTGAGTGGCATAGTGAGCGTGTCCGAGGAAGGAGAGTTTCGACCCTGCTCAGAGGCTCCAGCAAACGAAAAAATACAGCACAAGACGAGTCATCACTGATTTCCCAGTCCGGAATGCTGTCAGATCATTCTCCTTTCGGTTTTCTTCGTCGCAGCTGACTTTGTGCTTTCGGGTTCGAGCGGTGAGATTCGCAGCGGTTTTGCACTTGTTGGTCTGACATTCCCGGGTCAGGTCGCGCCGGGGCTTCTCTCAGCTGTGCACGCTTATGTGCCTTGGCAGCGAAAGTGTAGCCACGGAGTGTGGCCTAGTTCTCATGAAAGGATCGAAAGACTCGGACCCCTCAACACTGTAGTCGTTCGTTTAACACATCATCTTGTCGAATGCTTTGGAAGTTCGACTCCAAGCCCAGGCGAGCTTCAACCTCACCTATTCATTTTTCATCCTGCTTGGTGTCGCTGGACTCTCCCAGATCCTCTTCTGGCTGGCGAGGAGAGGTTTGATTCGTGTCAGTCACTTGGCCAAACATTCTGACCCTCGCCAGAAGGACTTCCTGTGAGCGTAAGAACATATCACGGTTCGATGGATCTCTGTCTGTCTGGCTGCCTGGCTGCCTGGCTGCCTGGCTGCCTGCCTGGCTGCCTGCCTGCCTGCCCGTCTGCCCGTCTGCCCGTCTGCCCGTCTGCCCGTCTGCCCGTCTGTCGGTCTGTCTGTCTGTCTGTCTGTCTGCCTGCCTGCCTGCCTGCCTGCCTGCCTGCCTGGCTGTCTGTCTGTCTGTCTGTCTGTCTGTCTGTCGATGATCCGGAAAAAAAGGGACGACGTTGTAGATGAGATGGGCAAGTCATGATCCAAGTCATGCCTTCCGGGAAAGCTTTCTCTTCAAAGCCTGGAGCACCAGGTGATGCAGCGCCACCAGGGAGCCTGGAGCGAAATACCGAGGCGCGTGGCCGCCACCGTGGACGTGGTGACCCACCGAGTTAGTTCCGACCGCTTCATCCCCCCTGGCCAGGAGGTGGGACTGGATGATCCAGCCTTGCTGGAGCAGCCCAATTGCTCCATTTGCCTGGAGGATCTGCATTGAAAGACACAACGTGTATTGCCTGCATTGCCGCAAGTGATCTACTTGGATATACTTGGTTTGCTTTGTTCGCTTTGCACAAAGCCCACCGAGTGGCCAGGAGTTTGCACAATCCGATGAAGTGCTTGTGAAGACGCAACTCGGCGCAAGATGATCATGATGGGATGAAATCAAAGGTCAACGATCTGAGCCCTAGAGTTTTGCTGAGCCGGATCGCCTTTTATTTCTTTTAGCTCATAAGCACCTGAGCAACTGTCTCAGGAAACATTGTGGCCACGTCTTTCACAAGGCGCAATGCACTTGCAACCAGTTTCACCGTTCAGAACAATAGCTTGAACGAGGATTCCTTGATTGGCATTGACCTGCTTTTCCTAGCATTTCGAACCATGCCTTGTCACGAAAGGTAGCTTCAGCTACCTGAGTTCTCCTTGCTTTAGCAAAAATGTATTACAATCAGGAGTTGGGATTGTGCATTGAGTTTGGTCCTGTAAGAGTTGATTCTGTTCGTCGGGGGGCCCCCCCTGGATCAAATCCCCCCTGCGCCGGTTCACGCCGTCATGGACTTTTACCAGGGTTGCTTGTGATTGCCTGCTACCTTTCGTTCACCCCCTCCTCTCTCAAGTGTCTCATTCACGCTCCACGCAAAACACTAGCCTAGTTTGGCACTTACTTGGCTTTCCTTTCGACATGCCTCTGCTGCACAGACTACACTACGCAGCGTACTAGACCAACTCAAGTACATTCTGGCTCAGTTTCAATTTGGTCCTGTCCTGTGATCCATGATCTGTAGGGATTCCGATGACATCATGTCGCGCCTTTCGCAAGACTTTCGTTTGATCGCCTTTTGATCTTGTCCCGCTCTGTGACCATTGTTGTAAGTTTTGAGAAAGTAGTATTCCGGCAATTCCCCCGGTCGCTACTAGGAGCAAGGACGCTACTAGGGGCTCCTGGCCTTACTACTAGTAACAAGGACGCTACTGTACAACAAAATTCCATTCGGGAGGTTCCCGGACGCAGGAAGCACCTCTCGACATGTCTGGTCTCTGCACCTCTCGACATCCGTTCACCGAAGAGAGGAGCTGACGCCTCGAAGCGATACGGCAGGAACACCTCAAAGACTGGCTGAAGGTTCATAGGAGCTGACGGCCATGTTTTTGACGTTTCCTCGGTGCGATGGATGTGAAACTGAGAAACTCAATGCACTGGCACCAAAGGCCTACATTATGATTTGTTCCCTTGTTATAACTTTGAGGTTTTGACCCAAGGGCCTTCTCTCCTTCTTGTAGGCAAAAAGCCTAAGGAGATTTTGTACAGTAAGAGTCACTTGAAGTGGGTATTGCTCCAACATGCTCAAACAATCTCAAACCCTGAGTACCTCATGTTATTCGGTAACCTATTCGGTAGCCTCTCATTTGGTCACTCCAGGACGTGCCCCCTCTGCCGCAGCGATCTGGGACAGGGCGCTCCAGCCGAAAGTGGTCCTTAGGCAGGGCAGCTGTTTTTTTGTCGAGTCATGGAAGAGTTCTTAGTCGGGTCATGGCCTGTGACCTTGAGGTTCCAAAAGGGATTTGTGATCTGCCGCAGAGTTTTATGATCCGCACTTTTTGTGACAAAGGGTCAGACAGGATGGTATTGAAGCACAGAGGGGCCTTGCCCATGCTTCTTCCGCATTGAGCTAGAAAGGTCTTTTGGGGGTCTTGTATTTCCATGCCAAGTCAACAATGCCAGAGAGTCAAAATCTGCGAGTGTCCCAGCATTCGGCGCAGGACAAGGGGAGACGCCATTGTTTCACGAGCTAGCTTTGAGCAGATGCACTGAGCACCTCGCAGCGCGGGGGAAGAACACGAACGAAGCAACCGTTTACGAAGCTGTGCTTACTCAACCGCGGTGGCTTCTTTGAGGATCGCTTTTGGGAAAGGCCAACCCAACAAGAAGCTACGAACGGGGCTCCTGGCATCGCTACGAACGGAGCGATCGGACGCTGCGAACCTAACAAAGGGCATGATCTTCCTATTCGACATCTTTCGTTCAGATACCGAGACCGTGGATCCACTCCCCGCTGCGAGCGGCAGTTCGGTCGTCTCGGACCCGTCGGACCCGGGGTGCTCTCCGGATGTGGATAGACCATAACAGAGGTGGATAGCTTCCAACCTAATGGGGATGGCCTCCAACCCTATTGGTGATGGCCTCCAACCTAATAGAGCTCAAAAACCTACGTGGAGTTTCTTCGAAAAGACCTTTGGAAGGTGCTACAAGCCCTGGTTTCATGATGTGAATCCACATTCATGTCGACCCAGCGTGCGCAAAAGAGTGAAAAAATCAGCGTTTTTCGGGAAGGGGCAGCATGGTGTGTGATTTGCATGCCCTTCTTGGATGCTCTGAAGAGCAGCACTTGCAGCCTGCAAGTCACTTCATGTTGAATACGTTAATCAACATCAAATCCTACAGCCCAAGGAAGAATGGGCATGGAGTCTGTCAAATGGTGGTTGGTTCCTTTAGGGCCACAAAGCTTTCACCACAGCTTCAATAGGGTCTCAAGTCTGTCCCCCCCCCGCAGGATCCTCCGCAGATGCGTTCTTCAGCGACGGCTCCCAGTCTCCATGCGAGGACAGGGGGTGATTCAACAGTATTTGATCTACTAGCTTCTTGTTACTACTAGTAAGGCACTTGTTACTACTAGCGATGCACTTGTTACTACTAGCTTCTTGTTACTACTGGTTTCGCCTGTTCGTGCAAGAAATCTGAAACACTCCGAACGACGTCAAACCCCGTTTCAGATTCTTCCAGTCCCCGTTTCAAAGTCCCGGCAGTTGGAAACGCGTGTCTGGCAAGCAGAGCCCGAATCCTTCCAAAGACTGCAACCACTCTTTTTCATTGCCCATGCCAGGCCATCTGCTGGACACCTAGCATGCTGAGTGTCCAATCGCAAGTCATTTACCATACTTTACACTAATTTACCACTGCACTCTGGCTGGTCCAAGAGGCAATTTGACAGAGGCTATGACTTCGAAAAGGACTTGATCATCATCAGACGTATCCTTTGATCCTGTACTCCTCCTGCGCTCGGAAGGCTCAAAGTACATGCACGCAGACCCCAAACATGACGGTACCAAGATTGCCTTGTGACATCTTGTGACAGCATGCGTTCCGATTAGCTGATCTTATTATGATGTCAATAACCTTTGGTTTGATTGTTGTCGCTATGAATCCGATGAATTACTCCGGCCGCATGCTGTACCCCCAGCAAGGCAGTCGCCTCAGGTGTGGATGAATACAGTATATAGATAGCTCTTGTCGAGCTCTGACAGTTTAGCGGAACATTGAATCATCGGAGTGACGGATGCGCAGCAGTGGTTACAGTGGTTACTGTAGCGCTTCTGTGTTCAGTGCCTCCAAGTGGACATTTGGTGTGCGTTTTCGGACCGAAAGCAACCTGGCTGGCGTTTTCGTAGACTGAGAAGTGGCTGCCAAGGCTTCCTTCCTCAGGCCGACACTTTTCCGAAACGTGACGACTTTCGCAACTCCCAAAGAGTGCGACAGGATTTCTCCAAAGCGTTGGGTTTACTTGCTCGCAGACGTGGGTGACTCATTGCAATCCCCATTGAGATTCATCCAACTCTCAGCATTATACAAACAGTCACGAGCCGTTCATTCTCGACTTGCTTTCTAGGCGCCGGCGCAGGTGCAAGTCCCGTTGCCGTGACGTGGCTGGTATTGAGGTTCGAGAAGGTAGTATTGGCATGGGTTCTTAAGGATGATAATAAGGATGATAAAGGATTACCTTAAAAGCCTCGGTCCTCAGTGGCCTTGAACTTCCCGTCAGTGGGGGAGTGTGCCATGTGGCCATGTGCTTGACAAGGTCACGTGGAGAGAGCAATGGAAGTGCCTCCCCTAGAAGCCTCTCGCCCAAGTCGGGGCTGCGAAACCCCACGAGCCCCAAGAACGAGTCTTGGACTGCATTTTTGTTTTTTTTACAGACACATTCTTGTGAACACATCGGACACATCACCAGACGAGAACCAAATCGGACGCTAAAAGACTGGATGCGTGTCGCATCTCTGTTTGGGCCGGATCCAAAGGACTGAAGGATGAGGGAGGAGACACTGCTCAGTGAGGGACTAGACTGCTGCATTAGTGAATCTGAGGACAGACGGGTGTCCTTTGTCCCTCTCTCAGAGGGTGAAAGAGCCTTTTCGTCAGTCTTCCCTTTGAGCCTGCCAGCCACGATGTTGATCCACTCAAGTCAGGTGTCCATTAGAATTGCAATTACTAGCTTCTTGTTACTACTAGCGATGCACTTGTTACTACTAGCGATGCACTTGCAATTACTAGCAAAGGAATCTACTACATTGCACCATGTCATGTCGTATTCCACCATGTCTCTTGATGTAAGGCTGGGGTGTCAGGCCGACTTGGGAAACGTTGCGAGGGAGGGGCTTCTTACTAGCGTGCCTAGCTACACTACCAGCTCGGTTTAGTTGATTAAAGAACAGCACTGAAAATGGTCCAGTTTCCTTCGACTGACTTGCAAAATCAGAAACAAGCTAACAAGTGGCAGATGTGTGACCTCAGTCCTTCATTCATCAGCTCAGCGGAAGGTAAGGATGAATGAAACCTCATGAAAGTGGCATTCGACACGTCACAAGTGGCGGACTTCACCCTTGTTCGTGGGCATTCGTAGGTCCGCAGCTCGATCCCATCGACCCCAACGCAGCGACTTCGTGCGGCACAGGGACCAAGCATTATCATGTGGAGCCGGAGCCTCCCGAGCTTCTCACGCAGGTGAAGCGGACTTGGGGAAGGGCTACCGCAGTGCCTAGCGGACTTGGTCCAGACCATTCTGAGGATGTGACAATGTGGGAGAGCATTTGCTTTTGGCATTTGGATTTTATATGTCATTTCC